AGCGCCGTGTCACCGTAAACACCGCCTACGGGTCAAACGGCGTGAGTGTGCTGAGAATAACCCGGCTCACCTTGGAGGACTCTGGGACTTACGAGTGCAGGGCCAGCAACGACCCCAAGAGGAATGACTTGAGGCAAAACCCCTCCATAACATGGATTCGAGCCCAGGCCACCATAAGCGTCCTTCAGAGTGAGTCCAGCACCCTACAGTAGTGGTACTGTAGTCACTAGAGGCGGCCCGATGACCCTTCCCTTCTGCTTCCTTTCCCTCTTCCCCAGTATGATCACTCACCCCACCCCTTGTCTTCGTTTTTTCAAACCCACAACCCTTATGGCTGTAGTGTATGAAAACATCTGTGGCAACTTTTTTCTTCTCTGCCGTCCTCTCTGCTTCCCTTGTTCCCCAACCCTTCACTGTGTCTTTCTTCTCAGGAACAAAGAACTTGAGGAAATCTGTGACTGTCCAAAATCATCTGCGTTGGGGAGAGGTGGGAGGGAGAACTGGGGAGGTTAAAAAATTTTTTTAAATTCACAAACCAGGCAGTCAAAGGAGGGTAGTGTTGAAATTGTTTCTTTCCCTCCCCTTGGTTTTGTAGTAGGTTTCCTGTTATCCTTTTGCTGACTTCTTCTCTGGTGCCTTTGTATTTTTGTTTCTCTCCCCAGTCTAACTACTTTTTATTTTCTCCTGTTCATCTGTTTGAAGCTCTCTGAGCAGCTGCCTCCACCTCTGGTTTTGAGTTTGTGTCTGCCTAGCCTCCTCCCTCACTGTGACTTGGTGTCATCCTGTTCTGTGATGGGAATGTTGCCATTGGTGCAATGTGGTGGTGTGTTTTGGTTGTTGGGTGGCATGTAAGCTTGGATACTTCCACAGTTCCAGCTCTTTTTCTTTTCTAAAACAGTGGCATGTGCTTCTCTGATACCAGCCTTCCGCTGCAGCAGTACCCTCCTCACCAGGCTGCCCATTCACTCTCCTGTTCTTAAAAGTAGCAGCTTGAGATTTCTTCCATATGTCTTGCTGTTAGGAGCCAGGTGACACTAAGCTGCAAAATATATATTTTTTAAACCCCATCATGCTATCTCGAAGTCTGAGTTATATCAGATTCCTCTTCACAGTTTGGTGATTATTGTTGGCACAGTTCTGCTCATCTCGGAGAATGACAACCCCAGAAATGATTTGGAAGCCATTCACACTAGCCTTTACTTTGTGTCTTGAAAAAAGAGGAAACTAAATTCCAGCCCTCTTCCTCTCAGTGATGAGGTGAGCGGAGCGGCTAGCTCAGAATCTTTCCCTTCATCAATTGGAGCAGGTACAAGTGAGACGTGTGACACAGGCACTTTTGTGGCCACTTCTTTTTCTCAAAAGTGACTTGTTATTTGTATGGTAGAAAGGAGAAGGAAGGAGACGCCACCACAGAACCAGTGCTGCTGGCCAAGAAGAGCTCCAGGCCCATGTCAGACCTGTGGATAGTTGAGGGAGCTTTCTCTACTTAATGGAAAGATCCTCTGGGTGTTCACCTTTTTCAAAGACTCAGAGACCAATAGCCAGTTCTTATTGAAAGAGCTGATTAATTTAGGGAAAGTAAGTGAAAATAGTAAGATACTAGTTTTATGAGGCATTCAGTGATCACTCAGGAGTTATGACTTTGGCCCTGAATTTATATACTTATATGGAAAATAGAAAATTAGTATTTGTTCTTTGTAGCCACTCAAAGATTCCTATGAAGAGTCCTTAGAGGAGAGATGGGAGACTGCTGCAGTGGCACTGTTGAATGAGAGCACCTGCTTCTGGAAAGGGGAAAAGAAAGCCTTGTCTATGTGAAAATGGGGAACATTAACCCAGTAATATTTCCTTTCTTTTCTTTTTTCTTCCTTTTTCTTTTAACAATTTTTTCCCCTTGCACGCCTCCTTTTCCTGCCCCCTTGCTCCTTTCCTTATAAAAGCAGAATTACCCGAATGTCCACAGAAGTTTATAGACATGGACTGGGCTGGGCATTTGGTACTTGTACTTCAAGGAGCCTGACTCATAGCTAGAAAAAGATGAGGCTGGGGGGTATCTTTCTAGCAATCCCAACATTACACATTTCCCCAGTTTACTTAGAAACAGGATCCTAACTTAACGGTTGTCTGCATGTGAGTAAACCAAATCCTGGCTAGTCAGTCTTGCCACAGACTTCCCCATCAGCCATTTAACTCTAATTAGCTGTATCCTGGAGGTTGCTGCTGCTGCCCCCTACCCTAATCCCAAACACCCCGGATTCAACTCTATTTAGATTGTTATATGATCTCAGCATTTCCAAAGACATTGCCTCCAGGGAGAGGTTGAAGTCTTCTGTCTATGAATGACCTCCTGGGATTACTTTCTCCAAAGCTGTTTGAGTTATGTCAGGCAGGAAGAGAAATGTGCCCAGATTTTAGGGTAATCTCTCTGGCCATAGCATGTTTTTTACACATGGATGATGGCTAGGGTAAGGGTCTCCTACCTGCTGCTTCTAAATAGGAGTCAGTGGCAGGTAGAAACATTTGAGCTTCTCCTAAATGTTCATCTCTCTTGGACTTTCCCTGGGCAGTGCTTGGCCACTGAAATAAAAGCCCCACCTTCATCCTGATGCAGAATGCAGATGTGGCACCATGGCCAAGGAACTTGTCTAGCACTGGTTTTCATATACAGCAGCCACAGGGGCCAGGTTACCTCCTCACAGCCCTCCTATGGTATCCTGTTTAAACCTATTTAAATTATCCACTTGCTCCCAGCTGACTCTCTCCTGGATCTTTAACACTTAAGGGAAAAAGTGTTTTCCTTTGCCTTCCATGAATTCTTGGCAGAAAGTCTACCCAGGTTGCTTTCATCAACTTCTTAATCTCCCTGAGCTACAGTGGTCATTTGCATCACCACAGGTAAGAGTAGCATTTACTTTGGCCTTCTTGTATTTAAACATCTGGAAGCTCTTGGCCTATTGTCACACAGTTCACCTTTCTCAGTGCAATCTGAGAGGAAGAGCCAGGAAGAAATTCCCAAGTGGGCCAGAAAATGAAATTGATTAATAAAAATTCAGTGAAAACCTAAAAGTGTGTTTGGGTTTTAATGTTGCCTTTATATTTTTTTAATTTCTCTTCTGTGGAGTACTGGTTCTCTTTTTGTTTTTGCTTGGTTTTTTCTTGGAATTGTGATGCTTTCTGCTGATGGTGTGTGTGCGCCTTCCATTCCAGGGTTTCAGCCGTTCTGCTCGACTTCTTAAGGCCCAGGGATTTGGCTTCTGTCCAGTGTGTCTTGGAAACCATGGGACACCACTGCGCTAACGTGTTTACATGCATCTGCTTCTGTCTTAGTGGCTGTTATGCCTCCATTATTTGTACATAGAGACCCTGTTTGATGTTACTAATAAGGACCAGTGCTAAATGGAAGATAACCATTATCCTTTTATCAGAGTTGGAAAACAGAATCAATCTGTTAATTGAGCAGACTTAAGGATTTGCTTTATTACAAGTTTCTTTGACAGTCAAAACTGTTACATTGGTTAGGAAGTCCTTAAGGCCTGACGTTTCCAAGTATCCTGCGACTACTTTGTCCTTTCTCTCTACCTAAACTGCAAACAAGCCTTAGTTGCAGTGGAGGGAGAGAGTTCTGTCCTCAAGAGTTAAGGGTCAGTGCTGTACTGCATAATGTGGTGAGGGGAGCTGCTGTGGAGTTGTAGGCAGGAAGTAGCCAGATACAGGGAAGTGGGAAGTCAGTCGAGGGTTGCTGACAAAGAATTAGAAGAAGTTAAAAGGGCAAATAACTCTTATTGTGGATTGAAAAGATGATTAGTTTAAACTTCACCTGAAAATGTTTGACCAAAGAACTAATCCTGGGAAAAAAATGAAAGAACAACAACAAAAGACAAATAACAAACATAGAAACATCTTGAATTTAATACAGTGATGGATTGCAAAGTGATTTAAAGATGAAACTTACAGGACTGATAGTAGTATGACTTAAAAGATTTTCTGCTCAATATATTATAATATTTGACTCAGATTATTTTCATACACTAGTGATCCCAGGTTTTCTAAGCCCAGGATAGAACCAGAAGGTGAAGTATATGCCTTGCCCTAGGGTGGAAGGTGGGGGCAAGGGTTGGGGTTGGACAAAGATAGAAAATTTAGTCAGATATGTCTTCTAGTTCTAGCTTTGCTACTGGTAATAGCTTGTACAAGTTATTTCACTTTTCTGGCTCTCGAAAGAGTGGGATTCTGTGAACTCTCAGGGCCTTTCTACAATTCTAGGAGCCCTAATACCAACACATATTGCACTCTAGTTATATTATCTTGGAATGGACTGTGTTTTAAAGTGCAATTCTGAAAAAAAAATTGTTTTGGTAATAAATACGGGCTGGAGAGAAGAACTGATAGTTCCTTAAGAATTCTGTCTTAGTAAAATTTGGAAAACGCAAGACTTCAAATAGAAAGTTTGCATTTAGGATGGACACTGTCTTTTTCTGCATAAGTAATGGCCATGGCTGGTTTGCCATAGGTTTAACGTTTACATGTGGGAAAAGCCATACATGATTACCTAAGTATACCTATAACTGTTCCAAGACCCAGTGACACTCTAGGGAGTTTGTTGGTCATGTAAATGATGTTGCCTTTGTCTTCAGAACTGGGAGGTGGAGCCTGGTTTTCTAATTGAAGCTGAATGGTTTGGTGGTTCTTACAGAAGGTGGTATTCAAAGCATAAGTGCATTGTTGCCAGTATAAGTATCTGTAATACTCCCATTCTTTCACGTCTAGGCCAACTGGTCTTCAGTTGGTCTTCAGGCTGTTGTCTGCGCTAGTGGTCATTTGCTTATAATCATTGTTTTTCCTTTCTTGACTTCCTCCAAAGTGGTAAAGTGAAATTCCTCATGTGGTCCTTGTCTGCCCTCCCTCTTCTAGTCTCCCCTTCCTATCCCATACAGATCTCAGGCCAGGGCTGCAGTGGATGGAAAGCTATTGCCCCCTATCATTGTGTACTCTTATTTCAGAGCCAAGGATTGTTACCAGTGAAGAGGTCATTATTCGAGACGGTGCTGCTCTCCCTGTCACCCTGCAGTGTAACCTCACCTCCAGCTCTCACACCCTTACATACAGCTACTGGACAAAGAATGGGGTGGAACTGACTGCCACTCGTAAGAATGCCAGCAACATGGAATACAGGTGAGAAGGGCTAGCAGCTTCTGGGAAGATGGGACGGAGTGTGGCTGAGCTTACTCCACATTCATGATGCATAATTATGCTATGTGGGAGGGAAGTGAGATGTATTTGGTCCTTCCCTGGAGAGTCTAATCCAGTATGTCTGGCATAAGGCCCAGGAATCCATAAAAGATTTCCAAATGATTCTGATGAGCAGACAGACTTGACAGCCATAAATGATCCCTTCACTGTGAGAACAGAAAAACTGAGTGCATGAGAGAATGATTTGCTCAGAGTGACAATGCTAGTCAATAGGAGGGTCACAATTAGAATGCAGCAGTCTCTTGACTTAATCCAGTAGTTTGAGGAATCAGATTGAAGTCTGCTTTGAGATTCTTAGAGCAAAACATCTCCCTAAGTCATCTTTCCACTGGGTAGATTTCCTTGGGGAAGTACCTTTTAGGAATGTTTACTATCATCATAAGCCTGATAAGGACTGGCAGCTACAGGGCTCTTTCATGATCTGGAGTGAGGATGGTAGCCTGGAAATATCTTTTGAAGAAAGGCTAATTTGCTTGCTAAAGTAACCCAGCACCCAAGACTCTTTGGAATATCTGGAGCACTGGAACCACACCTTTCAGAATAGTTTGTTCCTGGTTGAAACTAATCTGAAAAAGGATCAGCTAATTGTGTTCGGCAGGCTGATAGAGGGCAAAGACAGAGAGCACTGGAGTAAGGCCGGAAAAACTGTGTGCCCAGGAGTAGTAGCACGGGCATTCTGCAGCTTCTGCAGCATTGAGATCTTTTCACTCCCTTACTTAATTGAGCCACTTGAATTTGTGGATTCTTTTCTTTTTGGGATGGGGGCAAGGGAGCAGGAAACTAAGACTCAAGGAGTAACTCTTGGGTGCTTTAATGCCAAATTCTGTATCTAATAAGTTCCAGAATCAAGACTAGATTTTAGGTCTTCTGACTGGTTAGAAATTTCTCTAAACTTAGTGGTTTTGTTTTTTTCTGCTCTGCCATACTGCTTAGTGGCAAGTTAGTTAACTTATCTCCGCTGTAGTTTCTTTTGATATAATATGAGACATATAACCTCAGCTGCATCCTCATAGTTTAGAAAAGGTTAATCAAATAAAGAGATTAGGTGGATTGAAAGGCATTTATTCCTGGTCCGACTGTAAGTTTCACTGATTTTTTTTTATAGTCCTTCTTTCAGAGCAGCGGATATCCAATCATGTTTCTCATGGTCTTGTACTGCTCCCCACAAAGCTCTTGAGCTGTAACTTCATGAAGTTTCAGCCTGACTTTATAGAATGTTTTCTAGTCTTTTTTTCTCAGCTGATTTGAAGCTCTCCTAGGGGTTCTACATCCCTGGGGTTTTTCAGGGATTCCCATATTTGTGAGGTAACATTTGATGAGTCCCTTGGGCTACCTTATAAGTCAGCCGTGGACCCAGTTTCAGAACCCTGCCACTGCTCAGCCTATATGAGACATTTTCCATTTGCTTTAATTTCTTCCTAATAGCCCACTGGAATAGGCTGGGGAGATTTTGAGCCCATACAGCCTCAAGAGTGGAAGTTATCTTACCAAGTATTTTTCAGGGAACTTAGTTGAAATCCTGAAGACACAGCTGCTGCTCCTCTCTTAAACTCTGAAACACTTGCTGTTCAGAGCAGCTAACTTGTATCTCTTTTTCTAGTGGGAACATGTTGACTTAAGAAAAGGCACTGTGTCAAATTGGAGACATCTTGACTGCTCCTTGTAGAATATTTCCTGTTGTGGATGTGCTAAGACAGTCGTAGGGATAGGCTATATCTTTCCTCATCCACCGTTTTTTAATCTGTGTTTCTTTTTTGAAATGAGCAGTAAGATGGATATGCATTGGGCCCGTTAATGGTCGCATTGAGGAGTTTCTCTGAGACATTAAATAGTACAGAGATGGAGATTCGACCATCACAGGTATCATATTTTAACCACTAAGCAACAGAGCAGGTGCCCAGCCCTATTACAAATATTAATTCTCTTATCTGGAGGCTCTTGTTTCTCTGTTTCTGTAATTACCAACCTTTCTGTATGTGTTTGATGTGTGTGCATGTATGCCAAAGTATATTGAGCTAACATGAAATTGTCCTTCAGGGGCCCACAGCCTGTTTGGGTGAGATTCAGAGGAGAGTGTTCTAGCCATCCACACTTACTATCCTTCCTGTCACTCTGCTTCACTTGATCTGGATCTGTACACAGTCATTCACTCTGAGTTTGTTTTCATTTGTTTGTTCATTCGCCTCCTATGTTTCAGACACTAGGCAAGGTGTTCAGTGTAGAATTGTGCATCACATAGTGCCTGCCCACACAGAACTTGGTCTTTTGGGAAGTCAGACATTAATCAAGCCATCACATAAATATGTAAGCACAGGTTGTGATACGTACTGTGGAGAATCACAGGGTATTATGAGAGAGAATGTTACAGAGAGTGATGAAGTTTAGATTGAGGCTGGACAGAGTGCCATGTACATCGAGACCTGTGGGAGAGGAGTTAGGTAGGCTTAGAGTGATAGAATATTCTCTCTCTTTTTTTTTTTTTTTTTCTTTTTTTGAGACAGTCTACAAGGTAAGCCCTGGAGTTTGTAAGGCTTTCAGCTGCGTATTTGTGATGATGCTCTGCTGGCAGATTTTGTCTTTTTTTTTAACTGTATCTGGGTCCTGCCAGTGAGTCGACTTATTGAAAGTCATGCTACGAAAATACAGAGGAGGAAGAGCAGGACTACCAAAACAAGGTCTTTAGGGAAGTGCAGAGAAAGCTGTGTTTTTTGTTTTCTGTTTTTGTTTATCTGACTAGAACCATGAGGTGCACAAGAAGTTTTTAGTGATGGTTCCGTCTTCTATACTGTAGTATACATTATAGCTCTTTGTACAGCCCTCTGTTTTGATTACTGATTTTACAGTTTGTTTCTCCCAATGGACCAGAGCATGTGCAGGATAGAGACAGCATGCCATTCTGTCTCTGTATTACTAGCACCCAGTAAAGAGTAAGGCATTAATGTTTACTCTTAATGCACAGAGAGGGATTTTTGATTAGGCAGAGGTGAGTTGCAATAAAGGGCAGGATTTGGAGAGCTGGGTCCCTGGTTGCTCTTTTGCTCCTCCTTTTCTTCATTCCTGGTTCGCTCACTTGGTTTTTCTTCTCAATTCTGCAGGATCAACAAGCCGAGAGCTGAGGATTCAGGCGAATACCACTGCGTCTATCACTTTGTCAGTGCTCCTAAAGCAAATGCCACTATTGAAGTGAAAGGTAAAACTCAGCAGAGGCTGCGGTGTGAGCCTCTCACTCTCCTTCTGAGGCATGTCTTGGTGTGGACTCCCAGCCTTCACACCCCTCTTGTTTCCTTTTCAGGAAGCAGTATGAGGTTACACTTAGGCTTGGGAGCCTGGCTGTCTAGGTTTACATTCAAACCCCATCATTTACCAGCTGTGTGATTACAGCGAGTTACTAATTTCTCTGTGCTTTTGTTTCCTGATTTGTAAAATGAGGACACAGTAGCACTTACCTCATGGTTTGTTAGGAGAATTAGAAGAGTTCATATAGTAGCTTGAACTATATGAAATTGCTGTTTTTGCATGTCAAAAATGTCTGAATATTGGCAACTCATGTGGCTCAACCATGTGTAATTAGTATAATGCCTTACAAGTGTGATTATTTAGGTCTTTGGTAGGCTACCAAGATTTGGGAAAATACAGTGTGCAGGGTGGACATAACCTGTTTATGGATACTTCATTAGAGTTTTAGTGGAATCCCTGTGGGTGCCTGGCATCTTAGAGAGATGTAACAGAAAGTTTCAATTAGGGCAAAATAGAACTATAAAAGTTGAGGATACATAACATCATTAATCACAACTTTCCTGTGTTATTTTAAAGAAGTGCCTAAGACACATAAAACAGTGCAGGCCAGGAGCGTTTTCAAAGGAAGTTAGGTACACTAGCTGTATGTCACATACTGAGTTTGTGGCAGAGCTAGTCTAGACCCTAGGTCTTGACTACCAATCCCAGTTTTTTCCATTGTCATAAAATGACCATGGGAAGGCAAAGCTGCTGTTTGAGGTCAGACTGAAAAGCTGATGATTTTTATTTTCAGTCTTTTAAATTTTGCTTAGAAGGGACACAGACTTGTTTGTTAAATCTGTAGGGTCATCCCTAGAAGCTCGGAGGATAAATTTAGGAGAAAGAAAGGGCCTATATAGTAGATCTTCAGGTCTTCCTTAAAGTATTTCGAAGATTAAAAATGCAGATTTAGGAAAGTAATATCTTGGGTGACACAGCCCTGACTTGTGAGTTGATATATTATAAGATGGCCATTGCTTACTCCAGCTGCCAGATTTAATTCCAAATATCTGTGAAGGTTGCGTAAGGCAGAGTGGTTACAGATCACAACCGGCTGGAGAGCCTGGCATTTGATTTCTTCAGTGGCTTTTCTTGGGGAGATCTGGGTTTCTCTCTGTTTTGGAAGAATGCCACATTTGTTCAACATGAGAATGAAGGGTGTGGGAAAACGTTTTATCTGAGCCAGCTGAGGGTCTTTTCCAGCCTAGGTGAATTGAGGTTTGTGGAGAGACTTTCATCCCGTAGGAGACTTACGGCCCTGCAAAATTCTTGGCTAGCTGAGCCTTCAGCACAGAGTCCAAGTACACAGGGAAAGGAAGGGTGAGGAAGGGGAAGGAGGGGTGTCTTGTTAATTGTCCTCCCCAAGCCTAAGGGATAATTACATACAATTGCAGTCCCCTGACTAACTGTAATAGTTATTGATCTGGAGTTAATGATTTCCAGGCAGCACTTTCAGGAATGGAAACAGAATTGGTTTTTCCATTTGTTTGACTGCTTGAGACCATGGGGTTCAGTGGCCCTGGAGGGATCTTTCTTCATATTCTTTTTAGCAGATTTGAAGCACTGGTCAGGAGGGTCAGAGAAGAGAACACTGCAGGCCAGGAGTGTTTTCAGAGGAAGTTACAACTTAGACAGCATCATATTCATGGTGCTTATTCTGCTCGTTGCAGTTTCACTATACTAACACCCCTGTAGGGAAAATGGGATGGGGGTAGTATCGTGGTTTTAAAGAAGTAGATCTTGAGAGAATTCTGTTTTTGTGGCTCAAAAGGGTAGGGTGCCAGTCCCATATGCCAGAGGTGGTGGGTTCAAACCCAGCCCCAGCCAAAAAAAAAAAAAAATCCTAAGGCACATTCTGTAACTGCTTTGGAAAGATACATTATATGTTTGTCTCTCAAGAAAATTTGTAAGGAATTCTAGTCTTTCCCCCCTTCTTCTCCCCAAAGCTGGATAGAAAACAGCTGAACGCTTAATGTCTTGTCTTTTAGGTTGTACATAGTTGTGTCTGGTAAAGACTATGAACTTTTGGCTTTTTCTAATAAAAAGGTTTGCTGTAGGCCCAGGATCATATTCTAGGCTTAGTTCCAATTGCGATTGGGATAGAAAAGCTGCCTTGCATTTAGAGTGGTGCGTGTGTATGTGTTAATTCCAAAGCATTTTCATATAAACTCTCATTTTATTTCCTTAATGCCTTCAAGGTGGAGATAAGAGACAGTTATCTTTTTATAGCTATAGTGATTATAAAAATCTGCTGAGTAATAGAGTGGTAAGAGGTGGTTGTACTTGAGAACAGAAAGATTTATGGAACATAAGTGACCTCTTAGCTTAAAGGAGTCTGAGAATCTTCATCATTTGTGGTTTTAACTGAATCAGCACTTCAGGGGTGTGGAATTCAGACCATAAATACATATATATTTCTTTAGCTTCTACCCCCAGCCATTTTCTTCCCCCACTTGGCTTTTCTGCCTATCAGAACATATCTGGAGTGGTGTTTGCTCTTAGCACTATGGGGAGTGAAGGACTTAGCCTAGCCAGGGTCTGGGCATAATCTGTCACAGTACCACATATTGTACCTGTGTATACAAAAGAACAGAAGGCTGTGAAGGAATCAGAGAGAGGGCTGTGTGCCTAGGAGCAGGCCCATGATGACCATGATTTTAACCCAGGCCTCTAGCTCGTGGCTGGAAAGGAATTTTGAGGATGTACATGTAGGAGGGGAGGCCTTGCATGCAAAGTAGGGGTTTCCCCTCCTTTCTCTCTCTCTTTTTAAAGGACAAGAATGAGGCACAGTGTAAACAGGGAGATACCGTTAAGGATTACATTTCTTAGGTGTTTGGCAGGTGATCTGAGCAGATGAGGAAAAGAAGGGTGGAACAGGACTGGCCAGAAGAGGGGAAAAAGCAGTGACCAGTTGTTACTGGGACCTCTGCCTGAAAGCCTGGCCTCCCTGGGACCCACTTAGCTAACACTGGGGAGGACATCTTTTCCACAGCATTTTGATTCTTCAGAGGCTTGTGGCTTCCAGAAACTCCATACCTTATCATGGAGAATTTTGAATGAATATGTGTTGTTTTTCTATTCCTATAATTTTTCAACCTTTTAGTCTTAGTCCCTCTTTCTTTCCCCTTCCTTCCTTTTCTAAAATTAACAAAATACGCTCATAAAAAAGCAAATGAGGCCAGGTATAGTGGCTCACACCTGTAATCCTAGCACTCTGGGAGGCTGAGGAGGAAGGTTTGCTTGAGGTCAGGAGTTTGAGACCAGCCTGAGCAACAGTGAGACCCAGTCTCTATTAAAAATAGAAAATTAGCTGGGTGTCATGGCATACACCTATAGTCCCAGCTACTCAGGAGGCTGAGGCAGGAAGGTCACTTAAACTCAGGAGTTTGAGTTTGTAGTGAGCTATCATGATGCCACCGCACTCTCCTTGGGGCTACAGAGCAAAACTCTGTCTCAAAAAGAAAAAATAAAAAGCAAATTAAAAATTCCTGTATCATTTATAAAGTAAGAACAGAAAAATTCTTCTCATTTTAACCAAACATTATTTTTATCCCTCCACCATTTCGATTAATACAAGAAATGTAAGGAGTTTGAGTTTTATCACTGTTTTTAGAAAATAATTTTGTGGGTCATCAAATGTTCGACAAGTAACATGTCATTGCCTCCTGTGAGAGGTACATCCTAGTCCCAAAGGGACTTGGACCTAGTGTCTTAAAAATGGCCATCTCTTCCTGCTAACTGGACATTTCAAGTGAGTTTCTATCTTTTGATTGCTATGAGAGCCACGATTGATCTTGTTTTTCTCCTCCCTACTTCCTCACTTTCTTTAAATGTTCGCATTTCTGCAAGTGGCCTTACCCTGCTTTCTTGTTTCCTACTCTGTCACAGTGCCTCCTAAGTGACATATCAAAATTTAGACTGGCTGAAATAGACTGTGTGGTGACAATGATGAGTATCGTTGCTAAGAGTAATAATACACGTGTCATATGGTACAGTGAGTACAGCATTCAGTCCTTTCTTTGTTAGGCAGGAAAGGCAGTTAGTTTACAGGTAAGGATGCTTGGAGGTTGTGACATCCTTTAGGTGAGAGCTGATGTCAGAGCACCCTGGCTCTGACTCAAAATTGCAACTACTTAGAAGTCTTTGAAGGCATAATACTATATCTTGACACCGCTACCATATTGAACATCACCCTTAGCCCAAATACATCTACTCTTTCTTTGCTTCTCTTTTGAGTGCTACCCTGACCTTCCTTCATAAGAACAGCAAACATGATTGCTCCCTTCCTGTGTACCAGGCACTGTGCTAGGCTCATTCCTTTCTGCTTTTAGTCTTCACAACTCTGTGGGATAAAAGCTGTTATTTAATATTACCTCCACTTTGCAGGTGAAACAATTGAGGCTTAGGGGAATTAAATGTCCCAGTGTGACAGAGTTCACTGGTGGAAGTAGGTTCTCACCTAGGTAGTCTAGCCTCAGAGCCTTTGCTCCTGAGCACCAAGTCATGCTGCTGCACTCTGCACAGAACAGTCAGAAGCCCTTGGATTGGGAGTTATAAGAAATGGCTTCTAACATTGCTCCTGCCATTAACTGGAAGCTGTGACTCTGACCAGTTGCTTCCCTTTCCTGGCCTCAGCTTTCTCAAGTGTATGATGAAGTGGGCTGGCACAGCTGATCTTTAAGGGTCCTTTTGTTCTGGTATGGTTCTGGCAGTCTGTGGTTCCCTCATTTGGACACAGGTGAGAGATGCATGCTATGGAAGGAAATGATTTCCAAGCTCATTTTCCCAGTGGTGATGACTCGAAGCTTCTCAGCTTGGGGAATGTCACCTCAGGTGCCCTCTGCACCTCTACCCACTTATCTCCCTTTTTTATGGGGCTACCTGACCTCCAGCTGTGGTGCCAGGAATGGTGAA